TGAGGGCCCTGTTCAGGGCTCAGGCGCAGGTAATCAGAGTGATAACCACACACATGGCAGCTTTTCCAGCCTGCAAAGCTTCACTGTCACATTGCCCTGCTCTGTCCTCAGTGCAACCAACCCTGTGGAGTGGGTCTTACCATCTGTGTTTGACAAGTGGGGAAACTGGAGCTCAGGGATGTTAAGAAACTGACCAACAGTCACACAGCAAGAGCCAGAACCAGCCCCTCTGGGTCTGTGTGACTCAGGTGCCCAGTGCTTTCCATGGTGCCACATGCCATCTCCCCGTGATTCAAGTAGCACAACCTATCCCCTGACATTTCAAATCCAGAGGCCTCACAGCTGCACCCCCAACTGGCAGTGCATGCCCGAAGCCTAGAAGCAGTGCTGACATTTGGGTGAGCGGCCCTTTCCCACCCCAGCTCGCAGACTCCGCTAGGGTCCCAGCAGCCTGCTGGCTCTCCGGTGAGTCAGGCGGTGACTCAGGGCCTCGCTCGGGGCTGAGAGAGGAGCTGAGTCAGGGAGCACCAGGCTTCAAAGGGCATCTGGCTCTGGGCCAGGGCCCCTCAGCACCAGAAATAAGAGCTCAGAAAAGACTGTCTGGGGGACCCTCCCATGCTGCCCTCCCCTTCCCAGGCCTGGCCATCATGAGAGCAGCCCCCATCAGCCTGACACTGATGCTATGCATGCACCATCCCTTTGGATTCTCAGTGGGGAAGAGTCACCCTCTGCAGGGTCTGGACGTGTGAAGGATCATTTTTGGTGCTCACAATGATTGAAGGACACTACTATTACTGATTATGCAACACAGCCAAGAATACAAAGCACCATCACCCTCCAAATGCTTAAGCACTGCCCCAGCCCTCTTCCCATGGAGCACAGGAAAGAGAAGTTTCTGGCCAGGAAAGAATCCTAGCGCCGGCTGGGCGTGGTGGCTCACACCTGTAATCTCAGCACTTTGGGAGGCTGAGGTGGGCTGATCATGAGGTCAGGAGTCCAAGACCAGCCTGACCAACATGGAGAAACCCTGTCTCTACTGAAAATACAAAAATTAGCCAGGCATGCTGGCGTGCGCTTGTAATCCCTGCTACTTGGGAGGCTGAGGCAGGAAGAATCACTTGAAACCGGGAGGCAGAGGTTGCAGTGAGCCAAGATCGACTGCTACACTCCAGCCTGGGCAACAGAATGAAACTCTGTCTCAAAAAAAAAAAGAATCCTATCACCCTTCAGCACCCTCGCAAGCCGGTCCCCGACACACACCCCCCATGCCAAGCCCCTAAAGCTTACACTGAGCTCCCCCATGACCTAGTCCCTGCTCCGGAGGCCCCCTGTGAACAGCCAAGTCTCCTGGGTCTGTTTGTAGAGCCCTCCTTGGCCTCTCTCCCGCCTGACCCGACTCAGCTATGAAATCTCAGGCCGGCAGCAGCTGCAGTCACCACACCCAAATCCTCCAAATCCCAGACACACAGCATTACAGCTACCAAGTCTCAGGCTCACACACTCTTTGAAACACAGAATTTTGCAGTCTTTGAATTACAGAAGCTTAGAATTTCAGTGTTGCTGAGCCTTAAATCTTAACTTTGAACCCTTAGACTGTCACAGAAGTTTCGAGTCTGAGTGTCCCAGAGCTGACACCTTTGAAGCTGCTGTGCTTTCGCATCAATGAATCTCTGGCACGAAGTGAGCCCGTATCCCAACAGTTAAGGCTGGGACCTGAATCACCTCTATCCCAGCCCAGCCTCGGCAGCCCTGGCCACGGGGGTGCCAGGGCAGTGCTCGTTCTGCACGGCTCCCGGGGCTGACATGTCCCTCCTGATGGAGGGGTCTGCTTACTGCCCCACCCCTTGAACCCAGGGCTCTTTGCAGACAGACAAGAGGCAGGCCCAGCTCTTCCCAAAACCAGGACTCCTCTTCCTGCTGGCCAGCCCTACTGTTGTCCCAAACCCCAGGCCACAGGACTCATATGCCCTGAGGGTGGAGGGGAGAGGGGTAGTAAAAACCCAGGAGATGCCAGGCGAGGTGGAACGCGCCTGTAATCCCAGCACTTTGGGAGACTGAGGCAGGCAGATCATGAGGTCAGGAGTTCGAGACCAGCCTGGCCAACATGGTGAAACCCCAACTCTACTAAAAATCCAGGCATGGTGGCACGCGCCTATAATCCCACTTACTCGGGAGGCTGAGAAAGGAGAATCACTTGAGGTCGCAATGAGCCTAGATCACGACACTGCACTCCAGGCTGGGCAACAGAGCGAGACTCCATTTCAAAAAATAAAATAAAATAATAAATAAATAAATAAAAACAAGGAAACAGTGGCCCCCAAGGACTCTGTTTGCCCAACAGGCCAGAAACATGGAAAACTGGGTGGGTTCCGGAGGGCTGGTTCGCTCAGTGGTCAGGGGTCAGGGTGCCTGAGGTCAAGGCAGCCCCCATGGCATGTGTGGCTAACACCCCGGGCTCCCAGGGCTGGAAGGGGCGACACATCTGGCTCCCCCAGTTTAGGTGGAGGTGCAGAGTCACACACATGGCAGACGGGACTCGAACCACCCCCATGACACCAGGGCAGCAGCCCAGCCAGCCCAGCCAGAGCCCATCAGAGATGCAAGCTGGGTCAGACTCCCAGGCCAAGTCATCTGAGCTATGTCCCGGCCTCCATCCCAGAGCAGATTGCCCAGCCAGACTCACTAAGGCTCAAAGAGGCAAAGTGACGTATGGTCACACGGCACCCAAGTGACAGAGCCAAAATCAACTCTTATCATCTCACCCAGGATAGACCCTCAAGACACTGTGACATTGTCTCCCTAGTCCTCCTGCCAGCCTTTCTCTTCCTAAAGGCCCAAAACTCCTGCGGCCATCCCCTTCTCAGCCCTGGTGCTCCTCTGTTTGCATGCCACAGGCCCCTGAGGTTGCCCCAATGCTTTGTATTAAAACTAGCCATGTGGCAGGGTGCAGTGGCACATGCCTGTAATCCCAGTACTCTGGGTGGCTGAGATGGGTAGATCACCTGAGGTCAGAAGTTCAAGACCAGCCTGGCCAGCATGGCTGCTAAAACCCCATCTCTACTAAAAATACAAAAATTAGCCAAATGTGATGGCACACACCTGTAATCCCAGCTACTCAGGAGGCTGAGGCAGGAGAATTGCTCCGACCCAGGAGACAGAGGTTGCAGTGAGCCGAGATGGCGCTATTGCACTCCAGCCTGGGCGACAGAGTGAGACTCCTTCTTAAAACAAAACAAACAAAAAAAAACTAGCCACGTGGGTGGTGCCTGCTTCCTTCTTCCCTAGGTGCTCCCTGCGACCAGCTCCGCCTCTTTGTCCTCAGTGTCCCAAGGAAGACGTCAGTGAGTGCTGGGTGAACTAATTACCAAGCGGACCCTCTCACCATGCCTGAGACCCCATGAGCCGTGCCCCAGAAGGAGCCTGGAGGCTCTCAGCCCCCACCCAGCAAGGAACACCCAGCTCTGCACCCCACTCCAGCAGAGACTCTCTGGTTTCCAAAGTGAGGAGGACCCAGGGCCCACCATCACCTCAGCCCCCTACAGAAGGCGAGGCCAGCAGTTCTGGAGCCAGTCTCAACAGCCTGCATCAGACATCCCTGGATTCCAGGCCAGGACTCATGCCTGCACCTGACCTGCCAGCTCCTCGCACCCTGCCCTGTGTGGCCATAAGCACCAGCATCCCAAGACCCATATGGGCATTGTTTGGTGGACCCCCCAAACCACAAGGCCACCACGGCTTGGGTCCCCAGGCCTCCTCCTCAGTGGTCCCCGGCCACCAGCTTAACCTGCAATCCAATCCCATACAGTCTTTCCAGAGCACAGATCTCTCCAGGCACCTGCTTCAAATCCTGCCCTTGGAACACAGCCCCATCCTCATGCAGCCTCCAAGGCCCTGCAGGGCTGCCATCATGCCTGCAGCCTCACCTCATCCCACTCTGCCTCTCAGGGCTCCAGCACTGCCTGCAACTCCTCCCTTCTCCAGGCCTTGTTCCTGCGTGCCCTCCTCTTGCCTCCCACTGCCCTCTCTACTCAACCAATGCCCTTCCTTATTGAGGACTCAGCTCTGACATTGCCCATGTGCACTCAGCAAACACTGCCAGAGCACCCACGATGTGCCAGGTGCTGTGCTGGGTGCTGGGCTCCCCGCCCTGGTCATCTGACAGTATCCCACGGGAGGCAAATGTTAGATTCAGAATTCCAGTTAGATGTGAAGCGGAGGAGGAATCCCAGAGGGCTTCCCTGAGGAGGTGATGCTTATGCTGGGATTTTAAGGGTGTAGCAAAGGATTTGGCCAGGTGCAGAAGGAAGGGAAAAGCTTTTCAGACAGAGGGAAGAGCCACTGAGGAGACCTTGAGGCTCAGAAGAGCATGGGGGAAGCCGAGGGGTGGGAAGTCAGGCTGGATGGAACACTCAGGGCCCGGCGGGCTGGATTAGGATTTTGCTCTGCACTTCCGGGGCCACAGCAAATCATGACAATCTCAAGCAGGGAGAACATGAGCCCACAGAGGGCAGCAAGTGGAGGCAGGAGGCCTGGGAAGAGACTACTTGGAGGCACAGCAGGGAGAATGAGTCCTGCCCTGTGTGTTGGGACCGGCTGCCCCCTGCACACACCCACAGTTCCTGATCACAGCTCCTATCACCTGTGCAGTCGCGGCCCATCAGGTGGCTCCAGAGTCTGACTGACCTGCATTCCCAGTCTAGCGCAGGTCTGGGGCCCATACCCAAGGACTTTCTGAGCCAACTAGCCACTGGACTGACCCCACGGCTCCCAGAAACTTCCAGAACCTTCCAGAACCTTCATATCAGCAGGACACCAGGTCCTCATCTGTTCGAGATCTCCCCAGACCCACTCCTGAGCTCACTCACCACCACCAACGCCCAGTGGCCTCACCCAAGGCCTCAGGTCTCCCTAGAGCAAGGTATGGGCAGGCAGCGCTCAATCCCAGCCCCCCACCCTTCAGCCCCTGCAGGACCCCGATCAGCCAAGGCTGCGGAGGATATGGGTTGCACACCATCTTGATACACCAGTTCCGGGGGCTGGTGGTCTGTCGCAAGCAGAAGAAGGCAACGGGCGCCAGGTCTGGGTGTGGGACATCAGGATCAGCTCCATCCAGGGGCTCCTCCAGGCCTGGAGGGGAGGATGGGGGGCTCCGGGGCCCAGGCTGCTCCGTGGTGGTCCCCGGCATAGCGGCTGGGGCAGCTGCAGATGAGGAGGGCGGGGAGGCACTCTCAGCCATGTCCACGCTGAGCTTGGAGCCCTGGGGAAGACAGAGAGGGTGGCACGTGGTAGGGACAGGCCTGGTACATGCTCCCCAACCTGCCTCTCCACCAATAAGTGGACAGGCACAGCTCTGAGAGCCCCACCTGAGCCCCACAGGCCCCTCACCCTCACCCTGGTGTGAGGATTACAAAATAGCTGTGGTCCCAGCTCCACCCAAGTTGGAATCCTCCTCCAAGCGGAGTGATCATGGGGCAGGTTGGCTCACCCTGGCTGAGCCTCAGTTTTAGCAAATTAAGACAGTAGGGAGAATAAAGCCTTCTTTTTTTTTTTTTTTTTTTTTTTTTTGAGGTGGAGGCTTGCTCTGTTGCCCAGGCTGGAGTGCAGTGGCACGATCTCAGCTCACTGCAACCTCTGCCTCCCGGGTTCAAGCAATTCTCCTGCCTCAGCCTCCTGAGTAGCTGGGATTACAGGCGTGCACCACAATGTCTGGCTAATTTTTTTGTATTTTTAGTAGAGACAGGGTTTCACCATGTTGGCCAGGCTGCTGTCTATTTATTGCAACATCAAAGGTAAAGAAAACTTGCAAGAAAAAAGAGATTAATGTAAAGACAGACACTATTGCCAAGACAATGCAGGCTACAAAGGTGAAGTTGGGGTGCTGCAGAATCAGACACTGGGGGAACCCCGGCAAACCAGGAGGGAATCACAGTTGGCTTCCCTGAAGAAGTGACCCTGGAGCTGAGACCCGTAGCTGACCCCTTGACCCAGGAATCTCCCAGCCACTGCCTTACAAGGCTGAGAACTCAGGAATCTTAGAGTCCAACCTCTTTGCCTTACAGATGAAGAAACTGAAGCCCAGAGAAGGGACAGGGCAGACGTGCAGCCGAGTAACAGCAGAAATAGAATTCTGGTCAAAGGCCGGGCACAGCGGCTCATGCTTGTAATCCCCACTTTGGGAGGCTGAGGCGGGTGGATCACCGGAGGTCAAGAGTTTGAGGCCAACCTAGCCAACACAGTGAGACCCCATCTCTACTAAAAATACCAAAATTGCTCAGGCATGGTGGCACACGCCTGTAATCCCAGCTACTTGGGAGGCTGAGGCAGGAGAATCACTTGAACCCAGGAGGCAGAGGTTGCAGTGAGCCGAGACCGCACCACTGCACTCCAGCCCAGGGGACAGAACGAGACTCTGTCACAAAAAAAAAAAAAAAAAAAAAAAAAAAATTTCCAGTCAGAGCTCGCTTCCTGGGCCTGTGGTCCGGGCAGCTGCACAAGGCCCCTTGCTGAGAAGAGCCCTGAACTTGCTTTAGAATTCTATTGCCACCAACATGCAATTCTTAATTTCTTATCAAGGGGTACCACATTTTCATTTTTTTCTGGGCGGTGCAAATCATCTCTCTGGCTTTGACTCCAGCTCAGGACATCCTGACCGTGTCTGATGCTCTCAATAACCTCAGGAGGGCTATTATGCCTGTTTGGTAGGTGAAGAAACTGAGGCCAAGAGAACAAAACGGCTTGTCAAAGCTATGCACCCAGCCAAGTGAAGCACCAGGGAGTGTCAGAGGCCAGAATCCCAGCCCCCCAGGCAGGCTTCATGACAACTGACGGTGCCCTCGCTGGCCGAGAGCCCCTGTAGCCAGCCAGTGGCAAGATGGGAAGGACAGCCACTCCCAGGGCCTGCCCCTCACCACCTCACCCTGGAAGGTACCAATCCCTAAAACTTTGTCCAATAGGGTCCCTGGGATCCTAGAAGCCCTACAAGGCCAGGTCAGGCAGTTGGATGGAGCGGTGGGGCCCACATCCCTGCTGCCCACCCAGCTGCTGTTGGGCTGTCCACCAAGCCACCCAGAGCTGATGCATTTGGACATTTCCCTGGCTCCTAGGGGCAACGGGTGGGAGTTGGCACCTCCTGCCACTTCCCCTGGCTGGTCAGGGAGGCAGAGTTTTCTCTTGAGCTCAGGGCTTTGCTCTTGATTCCATAAAAAACAGCCACGGGCCTTACATAAGCTCCCAGGCACCTTGGCCTGCCACGTGTCAACCTCCTGGGCTGAAACATACCCTCCCTAGGGTGGCTCCAGGTCTGCCCACCACTGTGCCAGCCTTGGAGCCACCATGCCCTCCCCTGGCCATTCGCTCTGGCCAGATTGGACGTCATCGGGTCCTCAGCTTTGCTCCTACTCTCCCCTCTCACTGCGGCACCTTCTCCTTCTCCTCAGGCCCTGTTCTTCCAGGCCCTTCGGATTCATTCATTTGTCCAATGAGCACCTACTGTGTGTGGGCACTGTGTGGGCTTTGGACTGTGTTGGGGCGTGAGCCAGACTCAGCACCAGCCCGCATTCAGCCCACACTTCCACAGAGGAAAGAGACACACCTATCAATTACTTTCTCTCTTTCTGCTTTTCCACAGCTCTTATCACCATCAAACACAGTGCATAATTTATGTCTTTATAACTCCATGATTTGGTGTCTGTGTCCCCAACCTAAGAGAAGCCTGTAAGGGAGGTGTATCCCCTCACTGCTGTATACCCAGCACCTGGAATGGTGCCTGGAGCTTACTAGGTGCTCAATAAATATTTGTCGACAAAGTGAATAAAAAGTGCTGGGAAGTAAATAAACAAGGGAGAAAGATGGGAGTGGAGACAATCATCTTGCCCTCTCTAAAGGAAGAGATATTTAATTGAAAACCAAGAATCAGAAGGCAGCAGCCCAGACCGATCTGCTGGAAGAGCATAGGAGGAACAGCATGTGCAAAGGCCAGGAGGCTGGGGCCCGCTCGGTGCATTTAAAGAACAGAAGTGAGGCCAGTCGGGCATGGTGGCTCACTCCTGTAATCCCAGCACTTTGGGAGGTCAAAGCAGGTGGATCACAAGGTCAGAAGTTCAAGACCAACCCAGACAATATGGTGAAACCCTGCACCTATTAAAAATACAAAAATTATCTGGGTGTGGTGGCACCTGCCTATAACCCCAGCTATTCCGGAGGCTGAGGCAGGAAAATCACTTGAACCCAGGAGGCGGAGGTTGCAGCGAGCTGAGATCGTGCCACTGCTCTCTAGCCTGGGTGACAGGGCGGGACTCTATCTCAAAAAATAAAGTGAGGCTGAGCCTGGGGCAGGGCGGCGGATGAAACCAAAGAATTCAGCAGGGCCCCAGGGAAGAACACAGATGAGTGTGGGCTTTATCCCAAGTTCAGTAGAAGCCGCAGGTGGGTTTTAAGCAGGGGAGTGATGTGCTGTGGTCTGTTTCTAAGCAATCTCTCTAGGGAGTGAAGGGAGAGTGGATGAAGGGGCAGGGGTGGAGCAGGAAGGACCAGGAGGAGCTAGGTTGGCCTGCCCTTGGCTGCTGGTGAAGACAGGGAGAAAGGGCTGGCTTGAGATTTATTCTCAAGGTAAAGCACCTGGCCTTGCATGGACTGCAGTGGCACACCCCACAACCCTTGCCCAGCATTGCTGAAATCCTTCCTGAAACAGCACAGGTAGAAAGAGCTGCCCTGGCCTCTAGGACTACACAGAACTACCCGCTTCCTGGTTCTGGGCTACGTCGCTTGCATTGACTTGCTTGTTGCCTCTCTTGACCTGTTTAACACTGCCACACTGTGCTGCTGCCCTGTCCTCACACTTCTCCCCTCACTGTGGGACTCCCAGAAACCACATCCCTGACCACCACCCTCAACCCTGCAGTGTCCACCCTCAGATCTGTTTCCAGTGACCACCCAGCCTTTACCTCTGACTTGCTCCCAGTGACCATCCAGCTTCCACCCTCTGACCTGCTCTCAGTGACTACCCCATCTCTACCATCTGACCTGCTCCTAGTGACCACTCAGCCTCCACCCTCTGACTACTCCTAGTGCCCACCCAACCTCCACCCTCTGACTGTTCCCAGTACCCACCCAGCCTCCACCCTCTGATGTGCTCCCAGTGGCCACACAGCCTCCACTCTCTGACCTGTTCTCAGTGACCACCCAGCCTCCATCCTCTGACTGCTCCCAGTACCCACCCAGCCTCCACCCTCTACCTGATCCCAGTGACCACCAATCTCCACCCTCTGACCTGTTCCCTGTGACCACATAGCCTCTACCCTCTGATCTGTTCACAGATCACTCTCTGACTGCTCCCAGTAATCACCCTGCCTCCTCCCTCTGACCTGCTCCCAGTGAGCACACAGTCTCCACCCTCTGATCTGCTCCCAGCGACCACCCAGTCTCCACCCTCTGACCTGCTCCCTCTGACATGTTCCCAGTCCTGCTCCCAGTGACCACTCAGCTTCCACCCTCTGACCTGTTCCCAGTGACCACCCAGACCATCTCCCTCTGACCTGTTCCTTAGCAGCTTCATAGGCCACTACTCTCTGATCCACTCCCCACTCCCAAAGCCCCCAAGTCCGGTCCAGAAATCTCTCTTTCCTGTGTCTGTGGCACAGCTCCTATCCCAGATGCCTGTGTGCCCATGGCTGGAAGCCCTGAGGGGACTGGTATCTGGGCCTCCCTGGGCTCCAATCTGTCTGCAGATGGAGCCTCACAACACTAGAGGACTTGCCTTAGGTGACAGCATTGGTGGATTCAAACTCAGGTCCATTAGGTGCCAGAGTCTGAGCTGCCTCCACTCAGCTGCCCTGAGTCCCCTTCTTCTAGGTGCTCCCAGGGCCTCACCCTGATGCTCCTTCCCAAGGCCAACCAAGCAGCAGTGTGGCAATTGTGCTGGCCTCCAGGAGCAGGGATAGAAGCAGAAGCTTGCTGTGTCTGGAACACAGACCCCCATTTCTGACTCTGTCAGCCTCTTGGAGCCTCAACTTTCCTCTCTGTAAAGCTCAGCCTTCCTCCCACCTGCTTCAACAGGCTCTGGTTAAGAAGCAACATGATGGGCCAGGCACAGTGGCTCACACCTGTAATCCCAGCACTTTGGGAGGCGATGTGGGCGGATCATCTGAGGTCAGGTGTTTGAGACCATGCTGGCCAACATGGCAAAACCCTGTCTCTACTAAAAACACAAAAATTAGTTGGGCGTGATGGCGACACCTGCAGTCCCAGCTACTCAGGAGG